TTATCGACAATAGTACAAATATTTGAAATATTTGAATATAAATTAAAAATAATATTTGAGAAAAATATATTTAAAATTAATTATATTTTTTATTGAAAAATCTTTATTTTTAGAAAGAAATCTTCTTATACATTTTGTATTTTATCTAAATATTATATGTACATATACATGTTATATTTCTGAATCTCCTTAATTTAAACGAAATATCAATAAATTCTCTTTGATATCAATGAATTCATTACGATTTATCGAAAGTATCTCTGATTTCTTTACAAACTCGCAATATTCACATTCGTACGTCCCAATTGCAGTGACATTGAGTTCTCGCACACAGGTTTTAACCAAGTTCGAAATCCGGGCACGGTGGCAGGACCGAATGCGAAATGCAACAGGATTGTGTCTACAGGGAGAATAATGGCTATAGCCAGAATCGAATTCGGCGCACGTGCATCCATTAAAGACAGACCGAAATATTGCGGGATACGACAAATGCACTTGTTCATGGACTAACCCCTTGCTATGTCCAACAACACCCAGGATTCCCTCTCACTCTTTTTTATCCCTTCTATCTTCCTTTCTTTCAGCACCTCCATCGCTATTTCCCTGCTCTTTATCAGACGTTTTCTTTTTGTTTTCCATGGCATATTCAGAGCCCCTCTGTTGTGTCTCGACATGCTCGCTTGATCGTAACCATTGACGTAACGTTTTGTGTGAGAATTATTCGCTTTTTATTCTTTTCTTTCCTATATTTTAAACGAGATATAGCCCGTTTTCATAATTGAATATGTATAATGTAGAGAATACATTTAATCGAAAGATATTGAATGCATGAGCAGTTTGTGAAATGTTCTGAAAGGGTTTTTCATATTACGTCATTTACTATATTTGAAATATTTAATTTTATTTGTGATTGTATTGCAAAGATATCGAAATGAATTTCTAGAAAACTGTATATAAATAGTAAGAAGATCTCTTTTCGGAGATTCATATAAAAAACTCTTAATATTTATTATTATAATTAATTAAATAATAATATAGAATATTAAAAAATATACATAGAAATAAATAAGAAAATTTATGTTTTACGTAAAAAGAGCTTAAATTAAATATTATTAAAAAATAGAATTTTATTGTGAATATTAGTAAAGTTCTTTCATTTCTAAAATAAAATAGAATATCGTTTTTATCTATTTTAAGTTTAGTATCAAAACATTATAAAATCATGTAAAAACTATTTTAAATTATGATACATAAAACACACTAGCTTCTACCACAAAATCTAATTACTCCAACGTAAAAGAAAAGAGTCGACGCTAATGAACTAGCACTATGAGCTACTTAGAACCTGAGATAAAAAAAAAACAAAAAAATATAAAATATATATTTAAAGAATAATAACATACAAAATTAAAAATATTTATTTTTTTAAATTAAATTATTAAAACTTGTTCTTATTTTTTTTTTAATTTTGCAATTTTCAGAGATATAATTATTTTATATATTTTATATAAATTTTTAGAGAATTTAAAAAATTGTATTTAGTTATGCATATTTTTAATATTAAAGATTATTAATTGGAAAACTAATTATAAAGGTATGTTAATACAATTTCTATATATTTTAGAATTAGATACATTTTCCATTTTTTAGTGATAAATTAAATTTTCAATTATTATGTAGAAACAAATTTCGTGATATATGAATAATAAATATTTACGCATATAGAAAAATAGAATGGAGAATGGAGAATGAAGATCTTCTTAATATTTGGTATTCAGAGATTTGTTTTGTTTTATAAAATATGTTTCTGAATAAATTTAAGGAAGCATATATAAAATTTCGTACACAAAAAGAATGTAATATTTCTATGATATATTTTCCATATTTTCAAAATAAAATTATGAAAAATAAATATAACAAATTTTTATCAAAGTTAAAACTAATTATTTATAATTATTTTATTATAAACTATTTTGATAAAAATTAAAAAAAATCTCATCAATGATGAATCATTAATTTTATAACTTATAATATAATATAATATAAATTGTAATATTAAGATATTGCAAGTAAAGAAAAATATTTTATTATAATATTATTGAAATATTGTAGGATTGTTGAATTGTATTATTTTACATATTTTTATATTTTTATTTTTTCATCTATTGTTATATTTAAAAATAAATATCTTTTTAATATATAAAAGAAGTCATAGATTTATGAATTCAATTAAAAAAAAATCACACTTCTTTATTTTCTTTTAATTTTAACAAATAACTAACAAATTTCGTTTTATAAATATATATATAATATATTATTATTTAATATAAAATATTGAAAGTTATGCATATTTGAAAAAATAATATTTATACTATTTCCTTTTTCAAAAATATATTAATATTAAACAACAATGATATTATTATTAAAATAAATGACATTATTTAAAAACTATTTTTATTTCTATAATATATAATTATGTTCAAATATCGCGGCAATAGAAGCGATTCCTTCGGATCCTTTCGTGTAAACTCGGATACTTTCGTGTAGACTCGGAAGCGCGCGCAGCAAACGGCGCAGAAGCGAATGCGCGCGAATAGTGTATTACAAGCTAAGAGTGATGTATCATCGTGCGTTATTTTTGGTGTATTATTTCTGTTATTTTCCTTTCTGAGGACACGTACGAAGTTCTAAACTACTTATTTTCATCATACACACATCATACATCGTATGTACGTTATAATTTTTTATTTAATTCTTGTTTATTTCTCATTTAATAATCGTGTAATTTTTTTACTTCAACATTCGTTCATAACGATACGAACTACGTCTTAATTACAAATAAATAGTCTCTTTTATACTTATAAAGTAACTAATTGATCATAAATCAAGTATTAAGCAATATTTTATGTTTTATTTTAAGAACTATAATTGTTATAAAGCGATATTTGTTATAATATTTTACTTGGTTATCTCAATCATTTTTACCACATATTTGTTAGACTAATGATGCATGCGTAATGGCGGTTTCTTATTTTATGGCGGTTAATACATATGATTGCATCATGATTTTTGTACAAGAAAGATTTTTCATATATTCGACTTTCCTATTGCATGTTTAGTATAAACATTATCGCCAATATACATAACTATTTTAGATTTTATTGGATTTTTCTGTTTTAAATATTATTCTTTGTATTTATTTAAATTCAATATGTAGCAGCAGAAATTTCTTTTGATTTTTAGTAATACAACTTGAAATGTGTTAATTATATATTTTTTCTTATTATTAAATAAAATATAGGTATTCATGTTAGATAAAGATTAAAACAGTTTTATATTTATAAAATCTCAGATATTTATAAAATATTTTAAACATTTTTAATTGTTAATAATTAAAATAATAATTCACTTTTCTTTTATGCAATCTATGATGCAATTATTATTTTATGGATTATTTTATGGAAAATAGAGAATTCTATCATTACATAAATTTTTCTTAAATAATAAATAATAAATAAGGAAAAAGAACAAGGATTGTAATTATAAATATGAATTTCTAGCGTAGATTCGAGTGATTAAAAATTCGCATAGTTTCAATTCGAGGTCAAATGTGTACAAAGCTTAGTAGGTCTGCCAGGGATTACAATGGCTTATTTGCAATCGTTGCTCTGTAATATATCGAATCCTTGTACTCGCAACACGATCTATAATGTTCACTTGAAAAGAATTTTCGAACAAACTTTTGCTGAAAGTGGAATTTTACGCAACAATGAAAGTTAATATCTAACCTGCATGCGATTAATATTGCAACTGTCACTGAAAACTGAAAAATGCTTTCATCAAGTATACTTTCTCGTGTTTAGGATTTTAATGGATTGAACAATGATTGATGATAGAATATATGTACATAATCTAGAATATTAGATATCTAGAATATTTTACAATATATTAAAATTATATTTCATATTATCCTTGTGTACAAGTCTTCATAATTTAAAATTATAAAATGCATTGATTCATTAATTTAATCTATAACGTTGCTATTTTAAATTTTGATAATTGACATAATTATAATTTTTTAGATAAATTTTATTATTAAGAATAAAATAAAATTCCAACTATTATAATTCATTAAATTAAAATGTAATAATTATATTCAATAGTTTTTGCTTGATATGCAGATATTCAATATAAAGATTTATTATAAAAAATATTATTAGATTTGCACTTATAAGAGATCCTAATTAATTGAAAAAAGAGGATGTGCATTTTTTTTTAATTAAGTTAAATATATATAATAATATTTTTTAATTATATATACTTAAAATTTGAAGAAATTTTATATGTATCGGTTAATAAAGCAATTTACATCTAGATATTAACGTAATATTTAAAACTTTATCATTTTCTATTAAATCATTAGAATCTAAAAATATTTATCTTTTCAAAGTTCACATGATATCAAAAAAGATTTTCCACGCTATTTTCTTGTAAAGTCATTAAATACTGCAAGTAGAATATACTTTAAAACAATGTATACGAAAAATCTTTTTGCATTTTTTTAAACAGCGAAAGAAGAAAAGAATATACATAACGAACGTAAAAACCATGTGGACATGAAGTATATCGTAACGAAAGAAAATTTGAAAAGTACATATATACATAACAAAAATATCTGACAGTGTAACAACATGAGGATGAAATACGTCTATCGTTTATTGTTAGACACATATACTTTTCATGAAAACATCATCAAACTTCGTGCTATGTGTAAAACAATGGTTCCGGAAAATGCTTGTTTCCTCGTATTTTAAGTCAGTTTTCCACAATACTACTTTATTAAATAATTATTTTTGCCTTCTCTATTGACTAACTAAAGTACAGTCGTTCTCTACAATAATTCACGACAAAATTTATATTTATGGCAATTAACTGCCGACCCGTACTAGCTGTTTTGGAATGTTTTACACAGATTTAACAACAACTTGTTTCTGTTGCAGAAAGCCTGTGCGGACGTCACGAGAAACGTTTGTTGAACGAGCTGTTGTCGTCATACAACACGCTGGAGCGGCCCGTCGCCAATGAGAGCGAGCCTCTCGAAGTGAAATTTGGCATCACGCTGCAGCAGATCATAGATGTGGTAAGTTATTTCTCTCATATTTTTAACGACGTTAATCTTTACGCGTCAACGAGTTATAAAGAATAACAACTGAAGTTAATTCTTTCTCGCGATATGGAAGTTGACTAATGCAATCGAATTTCTTTTCATTCTGAAATAGACTTTAATTTCTAATATGAGATTTGGAAAAGATTTTAGATTTATTTTGATAAAAGGTATGATGGTTTTGGAGTAAAAAAATAAATTGATTATATTCTGATATTTTGTCAGTATTGAATTAATTTAAGTTAGAACTCGGTAGAAATTAATTTAGAAGTTAGATAATTATTTCTTTTCATATAAATAAGATTCAAGATAATAATTTTCCATATGTTCATTTTCTGTTTTGCAATTGAAATTTATTTAAATTTGGGAATCTAAATTATTACAATTTAATGAATATATTTACAAAGCTAGAAATTTACATTAGAATTAAACAGAATTGTCAGTAATATATTATACTACTGAAAAGATTAAAAAAAAGAAGAAAAGATAAATTAATATCAAATTATATAGGAGTACATAAGAATATATACTTTATTCTTTAAATATATTTTCTATATTTCAGTAATATTTACAATTAGAACTAGTACTTATCAGAATTAATATCTTTTTAAATAAAAATTGCTTTCCAATTTATAAGTCAAACTAATGACACACTCATACCATTGAATAACTCTAGAAGAAAAAGGAAATAAATTGGAACAGCCTTAGCGTATACATGTTTCATCTTTAGATTTTAATATCTCGAGCCATCGTTCATATTATTTTCCATTCGAATACTTCCTTTAACAGTCAGATCGGATTGAAATCCGTCATAGCCGAAACGATTCCGCGTTCTTCTAATTTGATCCCCATGTAATCGCATTTACATTAAGGGAATTACTGAGCCGGGTGCATTTCGCCAGGTTTTCTTCCTTTCTTAAGAAAATCGCATTAAAAAGGATTTACGACGGAAGGCGGAATTGGCGGCAAACTGCACAATGGTTACCGGCTCGCATATGCTCGCATATTCTATATTTATATCTATACACAGATAGCGTTTCCATCGATAGAAACTTGCCTGAATGAAAGATTTCCATTATGACCCCTCTCCTTTCTCTCGCCATATATGAGAAGTTATCCGAATCGTATATGAATACCGTCTGTTCGATCGGATTTCTTTTTTCGTGCATTCATTGCTCGCTTATCCTATCCATCCCCCGCCATGCGTTTATTCCAACGTCAAAGTAAATTGAAGCGATGCCAGGAATGGATACAATGAGATAACACCGGCATTTCAACGAATAATGGCACGAAAGTGTGATAAAAGATTATTCTCGGTAGTGGAAAAGATTTTAAGGATATCGTTCTTGTTGAGATTAACGAGGTTAGGATATATTTGCACGATGAATCCGTTCTTATGCGAGTAGTCGTAAGGAAAAAATAAATTGTTCGAAAGATATCAAAAATTTGTGGGGATAAGAAGATTATTTTATCGGGAAATTGTATAAATTTTAAATTATTATATTGTGGAATTATATATTCTTATATTAATGAATTAATTAAACATTGACATTTTATTTATTTTTCGTGCTGTAACAAAATCAATAATAGTTATGAAGGGTTGAGAAATTTTTTCTATAGTTAATTATTTTTGTTTGTTTCTTTGTTTCAATAACTCGATTAACGAGTGGTTATAATGTTATTATGAACATGACATATTGATGGAAGTTTTTTATTCGTCAGTTGCTTACTTTTATAATTGACCTTTATCCTTATACGCGTAAATACTTCCATCCATGTTTTAGATTCAAAAACAAGTTCATTTTTATATAGAATTAAACAGGATAATATAAATCATGATTATAATATATTTTAGAAAAGTAAATAAATTTACAAAAATATTTATAAAAATATTATCTTATAAGGTATATATCAATATTATTGATTATTTATATTCAGAATAACTTTATTTTAATTAATTATTTAATTTTTTTTCTTTTGAAAAATATATGACTTTGAAAATAAGCTAATTAAGTCAGGAATAATAAAAGATATTAATATTTTTCAATTTTTAATTCGTATTAATATAATATAATAGTTAGTAAAATTTAACAATTTACATTTTAATTTTTCTTCTATTGTTAGCATCAAACTTATCATTAGTTTCAATTATTTTAAAAAAATTTCATATTTTTTCGTGTAATTATTTACAACAATTACAAGCATTTTTCCAATTTCTTTATTTTTTACCATAAAATCATCGTATACTTAGATTTATAGATTTATTCCTTCTCTTACCTTACTTTCAACTAAACCCAATATCATTGCGTCATGTAATTGAACGGCAAGCAAAAGTGGGTCGAGTATAAAAGATTCAATAACGACTCATCAAATATTCAGTGTCAATGGCCGCGTAATACTTTCTGAGATTACCTTGGAATGGAAGATTGCGAAACCCGAGGCGCAATTTTCGCTTGATGCGCCCAACAAAGCTGCCGTTTCGTAATCTTTGCGTGAATTGCAAAGATAAGAAGGACCAAGATTAGCTAGGCTAGTTTTTGCACGTCAAAATATCGGCCTTATCTAAATGAAACCATGGTTAATGACCGAGGGGTGGAATGAACGAGGATGGAAGTAGTGAACGAGGCAGATCGCATTATGCTCTCCATCTTGGCCACCTCCGCCTCGGTCATTTACTTTATGCACCCTTCCTCTCGGCCACCGTCGCGCTAAACACCGTTCTGCGAGTATATGAACGTTGATAATCGGATATGTTAGCACAAACTGGGCATATCTCCTGTGAAAAAGCATAATTGTTGCGCGTTCTTTTTGATTGGCCAACAACTGTTTATCCGATTACTTTGTTTTGTTTTTTGTATTAGATGCTTGAAAGGATTATAGAGTATTTGAAGTTTCAACAAGAAAGTTCGCTAGATACAATATATTATTATTTATTTCTGTTATATATTGAGTATAATTTCGAGGATTTTTTAAGAATTTGTTGAATTTTAATTATTTCTATTGCTTAGAAAAAGTCGTGTAATTTCAGAATATTGACGAAAAGGATTGTCAAGATTATTATTTTTATGTCATTATTTATGGTCATTATCATTTTTATATTTGCTCTTTAACAATGGAAATTATTAATTATTAGAAATTCGAAATAGGTAGTAAATTTTCTTATAATCAAAGTTTTTAAAAGTTTTTTATTTATTAATGGAAAATATATATATATATTTAGTTTTTCATAGTCAATAAATTTTAATATTTGCATTAAACAAAATAATTCATTTAAGATGAGAAGTTGAATGTCAATTAATCACAAATTGTTTGAGTCTTTTTCGAAACATATGCTTTTCATAATAGTATCATAATCGATAAAAATTTATTAGATTATAAGAATATATAAAAAATCATAAAAATAAAAATAATGAACGAGTATCATTATTTTTTTACAATAATAACATACAATGAACAAAAAATGGTATTAATCATGTATGAGTACAAAATAGAAAATATTAAACTAAACCTTTAATCGATACAATATGTAGAAATCTGATTTTATAAAAAACCGATTTTTAAGAGATATTAATAATTATTTTCTATAAAAAAAAGAAAGAAATAAAATATAATGAGATTTTAAAAGCATATATATTTCTATGATTATGTTAATTTTTGTTCATGTATAAGTATAACATGAAATGATTAATCTTTAGTTATTTTGTAGATAAAAACACATGTAAAAAATGAAAGTTATAAAATGGGGTAGCTATAATTAATTTCAGAAATGACGTAAATGCAAAGGGTAAACAGAGGAAGTATGTTATAAAAATGAATGGGAGCAGTGATTCTTTTTAATATCGTCGTTGCTTTAATTATAAATAAAGCAAACGATACGAAAACATTTCAATAGGCGAAAAATATTTTAAATTTAGATTTAAAATTCTTTACATTCAAAAAAATAATCTCATGCATCGATATTTGCACAATTTAATTACACATTATCATAAACACATGAAGTAATTCAAATTACATAAGAATATTTTATTAGGATACTTTGTATCATAAGATATCTATTTTGGTTATCTTTTTTAATTATAATCACAGTTCTCAGTTTCAAACTCGTTATTATATTGTCACTAATTAATATTTATTACTATATTTAAGAATAATTGATATACGAAACATAATATTCTTACAATATTTAGCAATACTGTTTAGATTACGCTATCACGTATAGGAAATACTATACATAATAATATGTTTCGTCTCACGGTGTTCTCCTCCTCACCCTTTGTAATACTCAATCCCGCTAATGTCTCAATGCCACATATACTGCTCGAGCATATATGAGGTGTAATTACACTCGACAAGCAAATATTTTCCGGTCTATACAATTTCGCGTGGAACAAAGCGCTCGTGGTGCTTGGAAATTCCGATATAAGACTTACTAGGTATGTAAATACGCGAAACGTAATTATTGCACATCGGCAAACAGGCCACTCATATTGGTGTGCACACACGGGAAAATCCTGATGCGAAATCAGGAAAAGCGACGAAAACTCGGTTTTCAATTGAATTGAAAGTTAAATCTAAAGAACCGTGAAAAACGGGACGCCAAAAGAAAATGTCTTCCTCTCTGAGGGAAAACACAATATCCTTCCCCCACATACGTGAAACCATCGGTTAATAGTTCACTCGATTTGTCTTGTTACGGACACGTGTATCGTGGATATTAAATTTTTAACCGTTGTCTATTTATAACGATGACGATCCAACCGTGGAGGCTCGTAAATTTTTTCTGATCATCAATGTCGCTTCGTGCACCACGATCTTCCCCTTTGAAACAAAGGAACTTTGATTTCATTATCGAATCATAGACATTATCAGATATTTTTATTTTCGTAATTGCATTCCATCGAAATGGTGAAAGGAAATTCGATTTTTCCCTCTATCTTTATTGTTAGAGGACGTTTACTTTGATAGGAATATATTAT